CTTCTTTTTGCCCTTTTCTTAATGTCCCCAGGGCTGCAAACTGAAACTTTGGTGGTCTGAGCCCACCCAGAGGCTACTCAGAAGAAAGGTCTGAGGATGTTTCTAAACTGTCAGGCACTGTGAATCGGATGATACACACGGAGTCTCCGTGAGTCCCAGTTGCCTCCCCAGCCAAAGTGTTTGGGTTTTGTAATGTGGCTGCTAGAAAACTTGAAATGTCAGCTAGCTTTGGGGCTCGTGCTGCGCTAGACTCCCGGAAGCGGAGCCGTCCAAGCCGGTGTCACTCACTGTGCGGCACCGCGTCCCGACTCCCCAGGCCGAGCGGTGCTTTCTGGAGGACGTTGCGTTGTGATGCAGCCAGGCGGCAGCCCACGCGAGTTCCTGTCGCTGGGAGGCCGGAAGCAGCGCCCTCAGCGAGTCCCCCCGTCCGCCGAGCACCAAGGACGCCGTTTCCTGTCGGTCCGTGCTTGGGCACAGAGCTTCGCAAAGCACGCTGGACGTAGCTAGTTACTCTGGAATGTGCACCGTACAACTGTACTCCGCACGGTTTCCAAAGCTGTGACTTTTGGCAGCCCATCGCCTGACCTGTCTTCCGCCGCCACACTTCTTGTCGGGTTGAGTACTTATCCTTTGCTTCCCCATCCCCACCCCCAGGACCCTCAAACCGATAGAGAATCCATGCTAAACTTCTCTCGCCAATAAAAGCTTTTGTTTAATGCAGGGGCAGGTACCTTTTTTTCTGCCAAAATTTATAACATTATTCACGGGCCATACAAATTGTCCATTTAAAAATTAGCCTGCTCTATTTGGTCATTTAATTAACTCACTTCTAATATGCGCCAGACTGCAAAGCCGTTTAAACTGCAAGGTCGGCAGTTCAAGCTCACCAGCAGCTCCTCGGAAACCCTATAAAGGGTTGTTATGGATAGGAACTGACTCGACGGCACTTAACAACAACAACAACATGATGACTGGAGTCCTGGTGTGGCACTGTGGGGTTTGAACCTCAAGGTTAGCAATTCAAACTCACCATCCACTCCTCAGAAACCCTATACAGGGTAGCTATGAGTCAGAAATGACTCGATGGCACTTAACAACAACAACAATATAATGGCTATATGACTTCTGGTGTGATGCTCTAGGATCATCACTGAACTGTGTATGGTACACAAGGTTAGCAGTTCAAACTCACCATCCACTCCTGAGAAACTATACAGGGTTGCTATGAGTTGGAATTAACTCGATGGCACTTAACAACATGATGCCTGGAACTGCGTTTGCGTTGACAGGGCCAGACCAAATGATTTCTCTGACGTTATATAGCCCACGGGCTGGATGCTCCCCATGGCTGGGTTAATGCTAACCCTACTCCCCTCCCCATGACAGGAGGGACACTCTAACTCCATGGGCACCAGAGCACAGAAGCTATGACATGTATGGATAGCATTTCACATCATTTATTTCTAAAAGTAATTTGAAAAATATTCTCTTAACTACTTAGGTAACTTTGTTCACTCACTTTGCAGGGCAAAATCTGCTCTGATATCTGCTTGTCATTTAATGGGTTTATTATTTTTTTGAGCTACTAAGATTGAACTAAAAACGCAGTCAATTCTGGCTCACTGTGAGCCCATATAAGGGTCCCAAGCCTGAAAACACTTGATTGGAGCAGATAGCCTCATCTTTCTCACTCAGAGTGACTGGTGGGTTTTAACTGCTTCCCTTGCAGTTAGTAACCCTTTAACTATATTGTAACTCAAATTTGGCTGCAGTAGACAAATTGTATTCATAGCCTTCTTAAACCCTAAACACTGTCCAAAAGCAGTTATACACAACTTCAGTGACAATTACTGAGTAAATACCTGTCACATAAAACTGGGGTTGCTTGTTAGGAGTTCCCAGTCAGCCCCTAACTCATCTCCCTCATGATCAGATGGGATCAGAGCACTGTAATCCAAAGGTTTTTATTGACTGGTTTTCACAGGTACATCAATCACCAGCTTCCTTAGTCTAGAACAGAGGTGGGGAATGTCTGGCTCTCAAAACCATTTGGTCTGGCCCTGCCAAGGCAATTGCAGTGCCAGCAATCACATTTTGTTGTGGTTAAGTGCCATCGAGTCGGTTCTGACCCATAGCGACCCTGTATAGGGTTTCCGAGAAGCAGCTGGTGAACCTGAACCGTCGACCTTGCAATTCAAACAGCTTTGCAGTCTGGTGCATTAACCCACAGAGCCACACCAGGACTCCAGCAATCACATCAGGGGTAAGTTAAATGTTTGACCAAATACAGCAGGCTAATTTTTGATAATTTTGTAGGGCCCGCAAATGATGTTATGAATTTTGGCAGAATAAAGGTTCCCATCTTTGGTCTAGAGGCGCTGCTGAAACCTACCTAGCATCATAGCACACGCACGACTCCAATGATAGATGGGCCATGCCTCCAATCAGGTGCATCGGCCAGGAATTGAACATGGCTCTCTTGCAAAGAGGGCAGGAATTCTGTTATTGAACCATCCCTGCCCCCACGTCAGATGCAGTCCAACTTAGTGACTGAGTTCAATAGTCTACTTTTATGCGTTGCCTGGTCTCCTGATAGAGTAGGGTCAAATGGACGATTCTGTCCAAATCCCTGAGCCCCCAGCTTCGACACACAGCCAAATCTCAGTTCTTTTAGGTGTGTGCCCAACACGAAAGAACATTTAGTGAAGAACAAGGCTCCAGGAATTAATGGAATTCCAATTGAAACGTTTCAACCCACTGATGCAGTACTGGAGGCACTCACTCATCTATGCCAAGAAATTTGGAAGACAGCTAGCTACCTGGCCAACTGATGGGAAGACATCTTTGTGGCCCAACAGAATGTGGAATATGAAACAGTATCATTAATATCACATGCAAGTAAAATTTTGCTGAAGATCATTCAAAAACGGTTGTAGCAGCATGAAATAGGATGCTGCCAGAAATTCAAGTTGGATTCAGAAGAGGACTTAGAACGAGGGGTATCATTGCTGATGTGAGATGGATCTAAGCTGAAAGCAGAGAATACCAGAGAGATGCTAACTTGTGCTTTATTGACTATGCAAAGTCATTCAACTGTGTGCTTCCTAATGGTGTATAACATTGCCAAGGATGGGAATTCCAGTATGCTTCTTTGTGCGCACGCAGAACCCATACCTAGACCAAGAAGCAGCTGTTCAAACTGAAAGAGGGGGTACTTCCTGGTTTCAAATCAGAAAAGGTACGCATCAAATTTGTTTCCTTTCACCATACTTACTCAGACTGTACAACGAGCAAATAATCTAAGTAGCTGGACCATACAAAGCAGAATGTGGCATCAGGATTGGAGGCTCCTTAATGTGCAAAATGCAGATGGCACAACCTTACCTGAAAGCAAAGACTTGAAGCCCTTAGTGATGAAGATCAAAGAATCCAGCCTTCAGTATGGATTACGCCTCGATGTAAAGAAACAAAAATTCTCACAACTGGACTAATAAACAATATCATGATAAAAGGAGAAAAGATTGACGTTGTCAAGGATTTCATTTTACTTAGATCTACATTCATTCAATGCTCATGGAAACAGCAGTCAAGAAATCGAATGACATACTGCATTGGGCACATCTGCTGCAAAGGACTTTTTAAAAAAGATGTCACATTGAGGACTGAGGTGCACCTGACCCAAGCCCTGGGATTTTTAATCACCTCAGATGCATGTAAAAGCTGGACAATGAATAAGGAAGACTGGAGAAGAATTGTTGCGTTTGAATTGTGGTGTTGGTGAATATAGGAAAGCACCATGGACTGCCAGCCAGAAGAACCAGCATGTCTGGGAAGAAGTACAACCAGAATATCTTACAAGTGAAGATGGCGAAGCTTCTTCTCATGTACTTTGGACACATGATCAGGAGGGACCAATACCTGGAGATGCAGATCATGCTTGGAAACGTAGAGAGTTCACGTAAGAGGAAGGTCTCCTAGGAAACGGATTCATACAGTGGCTGTAACAGTAGGCTCAGGTATAACAACAACTGTGAGGATGGCGCAAGAGCAGGCAGTGTTTCGTGCTGTTGTAGATAGGATCACTGTGAGTCAGAAGCCACTCAGCGGCACCTCTCAAAAGCACGTCTGCCTAGATCCGCTGACTTAGCCGCTGTGGTTTGCTTCCCCCGGCAGTTGGGAGGATGTTCTCTACCTGCTGCGTCACTGCGGTGCTCCTGGCACTAACGGGCAACCCCAATGCTCTCCCCCCCATTCAGAGCAACAGCTCATGATGCAAAGAAGTGAGAAAACCAGCAGTACAGGAGGAAACCTAAAAGCCGTTCTAAATCCACTGGAGGAAGTAGCACTCTCACAGCCCTAAATACCATTACAGCCACCGGCTGCTCACGCCTGGAATAGCTGACAACTGCTGATGCCAGGGCAGGAGTGAGGGCCTCTATGCTCACATCAACAGGCCTGAGGGGCAGGCACATTTTAAGCTGCCAATAACTGAAATGAGCGGTTTCTTCCTTCAGTGGTAAGGTGCCACCTAGAAATCAGACATGAGTGAATGCACCTAGGGAGAGTGACAAGGTGTGACCCAGTGTCCATGGGCGTTTACCATGTGACTCGGCTGGACCCACCCCCAACCACCCCTGACCACCCCTTGGAAATCATGTTGGCCAGAACCCTCTCGCAGGGACAGAGATAGGTGTTTCACATCTTTATTTCCTTACTAGTGATGCCGGTCCGATGGGCTTGTGACACCTAAACTAACCTGAAGAACGGAAACGAGGTGCTGGCTCCCCAGGCCAGTCTACTAAGGTAGAAGATGAGCATCTCTCTCCTTAGGTATTCCAGATGAGCCCCACTTCCAGGTCTGGGTGCATTACAGAAGGCGCTCTTGTTCCACCGCCATTGCACAAGCAGTAAACGACTTTGTGTAGCCCACTGAGCTCCCTCACCAAAACGAAAGCATTGCATGCAAGAGCTTTATTTTAATGACTTCTAGTGGAAGGGCCTTATTTTTGGAGAACAGCAAGGCATTTCATTATCCACTCTTTCCAGTCCTTAAAGGCTTCCAGGCGGTCTGGCAAATTCTTGTTTCCCTCTCGACTGTGTTTCGGCGTCATTCGGGGCATGTCAGCAGATTCATCATCAATCCACCTCAACAAAGCCTGAAACAAAACCCAGACAACAAAATAATATTAACAGAGCAAAATCACTTCAGGCTAGAGAAAACGACTGCCTTTCAGCTGAGGTTATCTCCACCCCGATATTCTATTCTGCTCCTCCGTGAAGAAAGGAGCCCTGGCAGCGGAGCGGGTTACGAGGTGGGTCACTAATCGCAATGTCAGCAGTTTGAATCTACCGGCCACTCTGTGAGAGAAAGATGAGACTTTCTGTTCCTGTCAACATTTACAGCCTTGGAAACCCTACACAGCTGGTGCATACAAGCACCACCACCACTTGCTAAAGATGGGGATGACTATGAAACCCTCATGATGGTTCCGGTGCGTAGTGACCCTGTACAGCATTTCTGAGGCTGTGAACCTTTCTGGAGCAGAAAGCCTCCTCTTTCTTGCCGGGAGCGGCTGGTGGTTTTCAGACCATATCCTACAGAGCCCTTCTGATAATACAGTGATGAAGCATACACTAGAACCCTACAAGCCACGATGACAAACGACGGTCAAACGTACGCACGGGAGAGAAGACGAGGAAGGAGAACTAGCCCTCGCTCTGACGTTCCAGGTCATGAGATAATAGTCTTTTTTTCAACTAGCTAAACGCCTCACGAGGTGCTTGTTACATACTGTGCTCGCGACGTGACGTAATCGTGCACACAGGCAGGGCACACGTAGGTCTGGGCAGACGCAGCTCTGAACCAGTCCTTTTAGGTACCTGGGTATCGACTGCTTGGTTCGTGGACATGCTGGGACTAGGTCCCTCTGCCTTCTTCAGGGAACTCACCCCTTCCTCTCACTGATCATCAGCCTTCTGACCCACTTAGATAAACAGCAATCTACACAGTTACGTCAGGAAAAAGAACTCGGCCCCACACACTGGTAATCACTCTGTGCTCTCTTGTCCCCAGGAGATGGGAAACAGTGAAATCCCTCCCACCGTTTCTCACGGAACTACCGAGTGAAGCACTACAGGGCGAGTGAAGTTTATCAGAAGCCTGCGTGTGTACGCATGTGTGTGAATGTGGATGTGTGTTTTCTTAACCACAGTTTCCTGCTTCTTTCTGCACTAATTTCTTCTGATGAACGGCAGCTCGGGAGAAGCGCCTCCAAGGAAAAGGGTGGTTAGCTCCTTAGACAACCACTTCCCTCCCGGACCCCCTCCTTGCCCCAGCCCACTTACTTTGTATCTTTCTACTATGTTGAAGCCTATGGCACACTGCAGCTTACGTAGACAGATGGGACAGAGGTTCAGAGGGCGGCGGTCAGCTTCTTCCAAGTGGTTGGAGCCTTGCATCAGGCAAGACAGCCACTGGCAGTGTCGCATCCCAAAGATGTGTCCAATCTCATGGGTCAGAGTCTGCAAGACATTCACACACCACCATCATCAACAAGTGACACGCCCCACACACAACTCCCCCCCCCCCCC